CCTCCGGGGCAGGCGGGAATCGAACTCATGTGGAAGCGGCTTTAGATTCTCAGTGCTGTGCTTTAACCCGCTGCGCCACCAGGGAGGGCCGGTCTTATGGGTTTTTTAAGAAGACATTACGCAAGGGTCTGTAGGAACAGGTGTTTTCTGATCATGCGTAAGAGTCAAAGCATTTGATTTTTATTTATTTTATAAAGGTCTTATTTCTGCATTGAAGAGCTGGGGTTACGGCCACAGGTGTTGGGGGTGGGGTGAGAGAACTCACCAGAGACAGAGCCGGGAGCAGAACAGGTGTATTTACTTGAAATCCACTGCTGAGGGGAGCAGCGGGGAGCCAGGAGGGGTCTGCTGTGCCACATGGGTCAGCTCCCTGGCCGGGATCGGACTCAGGCTGCAGTGGCTGCTGATAGCTTCCTAGTGCCGTGACTTAACCCCTTGCGCTACCAGGGAGGGTCCACATTTGATTTTTAGAAGCAAGCCTGTTAGGACTTCCTGTGGAAATTCGACGGCCCGGAATGGCTGTCCACTCATTTTTCCTTTTCTTGCCGCTGTCAATTTGGCTTTTAATTGTGCATCAAGGTGGCTAATGTGGTCCTGCTAGGGGTTTGGCTCATAGGAGACCCCGCTGTTAAGTTCAGAGGTGTCTCAGTGTGCCCCCAGAGTGAGTCGGCATTCGTGCTGTGTCTGGACTGGGCCCACCACCTCTGGGGGCTGATGCGGGGGTCCAGCCTGGCCTCTGCTGTGTCCCAGGCTCCCCCTGGTGTGGGCCCTGGGTGCAGTAGTCTGATGAGACGCCCAAGACGTGAGCACTCCCATTCTCTGGCGCTGCTGCAGCAAAGGGCTGTTCACTGGGTGGCGCCTGGCAGCCCAGGACGTGTCCCTCACAGCCCTGGAGATCAGGAGCCTGCGCTGGACCTCCCTGGCTAAAATCCGGTGTCCTCCGGGAGGGCCAGGGAGGATCCACATTCTGGCCTTTCCAGCTGCTCGAGGCCACCATCTTCAGAGAGCGTCCCTGAGCCCTGTGCTCTGACGGGCTGCCCCACCCTCTTCTGGGGCTCTCCTGATGACCCGAGGCCACCCGCGCCCAGGGCAGCCCTCCCTGCTGGAGGTCCTTGATCTGCCCATAGGCACACAGCCCCTTTGCCCTGAGAGGTGATAGTCACGGGTCCTGGGAACGGGGAAGCCTCATCTCTCGCTAGGCTGTCCCATGGCACTGTCCCCAGCATCTGTCCTCACCCACGATTGTCCCCTCCTGATGGGTGAGAGGCTCGTGTTTTGTCCCCTCCGCCTGCTCCACCACTGGCTGGGCTTTGGGCCTGTTCGGGTGCCCGAGTTGGGGCAGGCCTGACCGTGCCAGCGTCTGTCTGCTGCCCCCAGACCGCTGAGGGTGCTGGTTTCAGACGAGACGTGGCAGGCTTTCTCCGGCGGGGCCCGCGCGGCCTGCCTTCCGTTCTTGTTTAAGCAGGAGTGTGCTGTTTGTACACCACACATTGTGGGTAAGGAGGGTCATCCTTAGCTGGGGCTTTTCCGAGACGCAGCTTAGGGCCTGTGCTGGCAGCGTGCAGTGGCCGCGTGAGGACGTCAGTGCAGGTGCTGAAGAGAGACCCGACGCAGCAAGGGCTCTCACGTGCGCGCGAGGACTCTGCGTCCCCGCCTGACAGACCGCTCTCCTCCCGCTGGGCTTGGCAGAAATGCCTAAGACCAGAGCGACGCGGAGTTACAAGCTGGTTAGGTTGGAGAACTGTGACAAGCTGGCCTCCCTGACTCCCGTGGGCGCAGTCCCAGGGGGGCTGCTTGCTCGTTCCACCTTTGCTGGCCGGGACGGAACTCCCCAAGCAAGCGTGGAGGGAGGTTGAAGATAAAGGGGTGTGTGGTGGGGCCCTGGGCGCTCTGCACCCCATTGCCACTGCTGCTGTCTGCCTCCGGCACTCGAGGCAGACGCGGTGGGGCCGCCCCCTCTGGGGCCTGCTCTGTGCACTCGGGGGCCGTGGCACTTGGGGCGTCTGCCGGCCCCGTCCTTCAGGCCCACCGGCGCGGGACCTGGAGGGAAGGCAGCGTCCAGCCAGCACGGCCAAAACCCGTGGGGAAGAGAGTGGCGCTCCCTGGGCGGCCTCCGGTGGCCGACCAGGGCGGCCTCTCGGGCGCAGCCCCTCCGGGCAGTTCCCGAGCCCGGCGTCTGCAGGCTCCTGTGCCTGCGTGGGTGTGGCAGTGACCACCTGTGGTCCGAGCAGATGCCGTGGACCTTCCCGGCTGGCGCTTGGGTTGGACGAGGGGTGAGCAGCTCCCAGCTGGCGTTTTTGAGCTCAGTTTGCTGCTAATTTTTCTGGTCTTGGGTCATGACAGAATTTTACCTTAAAATACCACTTGGTGGGGCCCTTCCTGGTAGTGCAGCGGGTAAAAGCACAGCACTGAGAAGCTAAAGCCGCTTCTGCACGAGTTTGATCCCCGCCTGCCTGGAGGTGACCCCCCAGGGCGTGGCTGACCTCTCCTGACCCGCCCGCTGCTCCCCACTTTGTCCCTGGTGAATCTTCTCACCGCCCCTGCACCTCTGGCCTGTACCCCAGTTCTGTGTGCACAAATAAACCTTTAAAAAAAAAATAACACCTGGTACAGAGCACTGCCCTTGCCCCTCCTGCCCACGTGGCTCTGGCGTGGGTTGGGCTGGCAGCCTGGCTGCGGAGGGCCTGTCGAGTGCCAGTGTCAGCGGCTCCGACGGTCGCCTCCATTTTCCACACAGGACCTCAGAGCGTGCCAGAGTCGATGCTCTAGCTCCTTTCTGTACGTGGTTCCGTGGACGTGAAGTCATGATACACGTTTCTTTTCCTGACCAAGTTTGGAACCTGCAGCCACGGTGGGGTGAGGCCCGCCGCGCTGGCGACCCTGGCGGGCCCGCGTCAGTGTCTGATGGCGAGGGGGAGTCCGTGAGGACGGCTCAGCAGCGGGCAGCCGCCTGTGCAGGGTGGCAGCCGTTGTCTCACACCTGCCGTGCCAGCTGCCCGGGCTTGGAGCCAGCAGCCAAGGGCGGTGGGCGGGGAGAGGGATCAGCAGGGGGCGGCAGGAGCCCCGGCCAGGGGAGGTTCCTGGTGCTGTGCGCCGTGGCCACCACACTGCGTGGACAAGGACGAAGCAAGGAGTGAGCAGTTCAGGGGGGTGTTTCTCCGGGGATTCTCTCCCGGGCTGTGCGGACCCCGGCTCTCGTCGCCAAGGGAGCCCTCTCGGGGCCTGGAGGACGTCCCCACCGGAGGGGCTATTTTGCAGGTGTGCTCACCTGATCGTCCTGCGTGGTTTCCGAGCATTGCTTGCTCCCTTCCGTGTGGTTTCGCTTTCCTTCACATGTGGACAGCCTGGCACCTCCCGTGGTCTGCCTGTGCTTTCCGATGCTCCTTGGGGGGTCCTGCCCGAGAGCTGTCCCCGCCTTGGGGCTCGCTCTGGTGCCAGCTCAGCTCTTGGTGCCTGGGAGTTCTCTTGGCTGCTGCCTGCCCTGGCCCCGCCCTCAGTCACCGCTGCTGAGGCCCTCCCCCTCCCCCTCCCTGGGTCCAGTGACCTCCACCCCTCCCCCTGCGTTAATGTCTGCTGAGTTTTGTGCTTTACTTCATCAGATTGTATGTAACTGTCCCGTATTTTTTTTTAAGATTTATTTTTATTTATGCCTACAAGAACTGCGGTACAGACCAGAGGTGCAGAGGGTGAGAGGATTCACCAGAGACAGAGTGGGGAGCAGAGCAGACGGATCAAGTGAAATCCACTGTTGAGGGGGCAGCAGGAGACAGGAGGGGTTTGCTGGGCCCTGGGGGTCACTCCCTGGCTGGGGATGGCACTCAGGTCAGAGACGCTCCTAGTTGAGTTTTTTTAAAGTAAATTCCAGTAGCTTTTCAAAGTGCATCAGCCGGCGTTCCCTGCCGGCAGTGTGGGGGCTCCTCCGTACCCCAGCCCCATCCCAGGTGTGAGTGGGGGTGCAGGTCTGGCC